TATCATTATTATTATTTTTATTATTATTATAATTAGTTCAATATTATTTTTTATTACATCAGAATCGTTATCATTTTCATTTGTATCAGCATTATTTATTTCTGAATCTGTTCCTACCTAATTCGAGGAAACGTGTGTATCTGTATTTATGTTTTACAGAAAAGGCGAGCAGGTTCATAGTTCGAATCTAGGTGGGATCGAATGTTTCGTTTTGTTTTACTGGTACACCCTCACTGCCGGTTCTCTGATGGGTGAGTCTCTGACAGCTTCCTATTCACACAAAAAAAACTACTGGGTTTTGCCTAGAAAGAGGATAATCCTACCCTACTTTTTAAAAATCTTGTTTAAAAGAACACATTTTCGCCATCTGTTGTGTATAGTTGCCTAACGTCTGGGGGTTTTTTCTTCTAAATTTGCAAACATTAACTTTTAATCAGTTGGCAGAGACTAAATGAAACGTAACGTATTACTTTCTTGAAAGGTTTTACTTGTTCAACATGTGTGTTTTAAGTGATAAATGTACTTTAGAGCACAACCATAACTGATTTCTCGGGATCAGTAGGATTATCACAGCAGTTAGCGCTGAAACGTGAAATGAAGCGTTCTGAATCCAACCTTGAAGTTCTATTGTGGAGCTTAGTTTTTAATTTTTAAGCCATCGATTGTGCTTATTGCGTGTGAAGTTGATTCAGCTATTCAACAATAACGGTGTTATCAATCATTATCCATTTATTTGACACATATGAATAAGAAAAATGCGGCCTGTCACAAAACTACAATCACTTCTTAATAAGGCCTAATTTTTCTATTTGAACACGTTTTATAATTCCCAACAATTGGCGGCAGCCTCCATTGATCGTAATCATAGTTTAATTTCAAAATGATTTATTACCTCTGAGCGACTACAAATCTCTACCGTATAAAGAATCCACTTCACTTTAAGTCCGAGTGATGTACTTTACTTTTCAACGTCTCCCATTCACTTTACGGATCCCTGGAATCATTGTGTGAGCAACTCATTCGGAACTGAGCGTGGGATTAAAAAGAAACTCCACTAGCATTTCCCAAGGTAAGCCTGCTTTTTTCTGCCTCGTTGCCCATCGTCTATTCCATTTTGAGTTATGAAGAGCCCCGAGGTCGTTTCGATTGATATGCCCCCATCTCAAATGGTTCTATTGACTGTGAAAAGTAGAGTGGACTGTTAATGATTTTTAAATGAGATATTATGCTGTCCTTTCAAAGTATTCTGCTGGAGCAAAGGTTGGGTTTCGGGTGTTAAAATCTTATGGTTAAGAAATGGTACATTTTCCCCACGTGGAGATGGAATCTCTGAGTGTCTTTAAATATAAATTAGTGTGAGTGAGTGTGAGTGTTTGTCTGTGTTTGCGCGCGGGCGCGTGTGTGTATGTGTGTGTGTGTGTGTGTGTGTGTGTGTGTGTGTGTGTGTGTGTGTGTGTGTGTGTGTGTGTGTGTGTGTGTGTGTGTGTGTGTGTGTGTTGAGGTGTAATTGGATCATAGCATTAAGTAAAATTCAGGTTGGCTGAAACAGAATGTGGGTTGTTGTAATATGATTTTTTTTTCTGTGAAAACCCATGACATTTGATATTGGCTTTAGTAAAAAAAAAAAAAAAAAAAAAAAAAAGTCCCAGGGTGCTATTTTCTTATTTGTCGATTCATTCACTTTTGTTTGAATCCATGCGTATAAACTTTAATCTATCTGTCCCTCCGCCAGTTAACCCAAGCTTCTATCATCACATCAAGCCACTCATCCATCAGATCATGTTTTCTGCATGTCTGCTCATGAGCTTTAAATTTGTCTGTTTCTGTCTGTCCGTTCCGTTGTCTTTCAATCTGCCTTTGTGCCCGTCAGATGTTTGAAGTGTGTAAATCTTCTTGAGAAATTATAGTATCATGGCTAATATGTTTGCTTGGTGCATCCACCGCCTCGCAGTTTACATTTCAAAATGTTGAGAAATTTGAAGTCTAAATGATGATTTTGTATGATATATTTTTGTATCAAATTAAAGTACAAGAGAGGAGTTTATTAAACAAAGATTGTATTTGCCTCCGTTGACTCCAACGCCTGCAACTAATTTTCTAAATACATAAGAGAAACGAATCACATTTTATGTGATTCAAAAAGTCAATTATAAAAGGAACATGTTCGAATCGAACCAAAATCTATCCATATAATGTTAGTATTTTACCTCGATTAAAACCCAAATATTATAGTATCAGCTTTTGTCTTAATGTGCCATAAATGCTGAGCCATACCAGAATGATACTTGTCGAGTTTCCTCAAGAGCTACCTTTCAGTTTCGAGGCAACTAATTTTATTTTCACTTTAAATAAATGCATTAACGCAGTGGTTGGTAAATTTCACACTTAAACAGTTTGCAGCTTACGAAGACAGAGAACAAAACTTTTTTTTTTCTTCCGCCGAAGCCTCACGAACATTGGTGCTTTATATTTGATTTTGATTTATGTTTGCCGACTATCTTGAGGTGTTGCCTGACATAAATATATTACGTATACTGAAAGTGGATAATGTCGTTTAGAATATGATAGAACAGGAAAAACTAGAACACATCAAGAAACACATAACAAAGTGTTCAGCCCCTGCCCCCCCTCCCCCCCAGCCTAGCACCCCCCTCTCCCCCAATCACAAACGCCACCCCATACTCGTATCTTTTGAAATCTTAATTTAAACAATTAATCTAAAACCAAAGAAATGATAAGCAAGTCAAGAACAAAAACAAGTGAGACTTATTTATAGTATTATATTT